GTAAGAGCAACACTACCGGAAACAGTGACTTTGTTGTGTGCCACATGCACTCAGCAAAGCCAACAAAACACTCGGTAAACAGCACACGGCATCTACGGTGCCGGCAAACGTCTCTTTGCCGAGGGTTTTCTATCGGCACTCGGCAAATACTTTGCCGAGAGCTAAAACCGATGCTCGGTGAAAAAAAGTAACGCGACGGCACAGAGACGGTCACGGCGCGTTTGCCGAGTGTCCCGGACCTGACACTGGGCAAAACTGAATTCTTTGCCGAGTGTCCAATATCTGACACTCGGCACGCCTTCTTTGCCGAGTGTCAAATCCCGAGCACTCGGCAAACCTGCCATCTTTGCCGAGTGTCAAATACTGGACACTCGTCCATGTATAATCATGCAACAAGCTTTACTTTCCTTTACGACTCACGGATATATTTGCTACTTACACGTAAAATGACAGCCATTGAAACAACAATACTATATTATTCAACTAGCATACATGCGCGCTTGCACTGCATGCATGCGTGAACATGACGACGTATACAAATGAAACCACTAAGACACGCAGCTAAAACCAAATCCAGTATGTAATTTCTTTTTAAACGAAGAGCTCACGATCGAAAAGACGACACGCGCATGCAAACCAAGAAGTCCATGCTTCTATCATATCGCATATGGCGCCGGCGAGAACTCTCTAACCAACGACGGGCGTGTAAAGGACGGCTCCGCTGGTGTCGAAGTAGACGCGGACGCGGAGGGCGTTGTACCCAGGCGCCACGTTGGTGCCGTCCGGGACCACCTCGATGGCCACGTCGGGCCTGTCGCTGCTGATCTGCGTCACCGCCTGGGCCGCCGGCCACCCCACCACCTCCGGCCACGACGCCTTCTCGCTGCTCATTCTCTCCCTTCCTCCTTAGGCGATCACTCCTCTACTGATTCAGAACACAAGTGCTAGCTGCGCGCACTTTGGTCCTACTAGCAAAGTACTAATGAGGAAGTTGGATACAAGAATCTCTCGTCGCTCGGGATGGCATTTATAGGATTACCGTAGCTGAACGTGCATGCATCGATGACTATTGGGCACAAACAAGAGCCTCGGTATTGTCACCCCGATCTGCTGGCGTTTCCTTATTAGCTACTCGGATTTATTTCCAGACAAGTGGCAACTCACAACACAGCCGGATAAACACTGTCCTTTGCAACAACCAATGTTCGAAAACTAGCATCAGTAAGAGCAAGTACTGACTAGTGACTAAATTAAGCCAAGACAAGCCCCTTGCTCTCTGAATCATAAGTTATATCTCATGCACACAATGCAAACTAGTGTTGTACAGTACTGCTGCAGCTGGCACATGGGCTTGTTTGGTAGTGTCCAGCTTCAAGATTTTCTGGAGCTTCCCAACTCAAAAAAGTCTTAACGATGGAGTTTAGTGAAGAAATTTAGTTGGGTAATTTTATTTTGTTATTTTTTCTTGATCATATATAACTTTAGACCAGTTTATTTATTTTATCATACAAACTTCAAATCGTATGTTGGTCTCAGAGTTAGAGCTGTGACAAATGAAACTCGGAACATTTCCACTCCCTCTTCTTATATAAGGCTTTTAATTCGGGTTCTATCGTCTTAAAATACTCCAACTATTCTAAACTATAGATCAATATATTTTGCTTTTTTTAAGTATAAAACTTCTCTAATTATGATCAAGACTTTCCTAAGTAAAACTTGTCGAACTTCTCTAAGTAAAACTAGAAAATGTAACGAATACATTATCAAGGCATATTTCATTAGAATTTAATTAAAAACTGATACTGTAGATTTCTGTATTTTCTATAAAACTTAGCCAAAAGCTTGGCTAAGAATAAAACTAAAGTGGCCTATACTGTACTATATAAAATATTTTTGTCAACACTATTTTTATTGTCGGTTCTAATTAATAAAACCATCGGTGATACATTTTCATAACTGGAGAAATTATTTTCACCGTCAGTTTGTGGCTTGAACCGGTGGTAAAACCTATCCCAAATATATATTCAACAAACCCTAACCTAACCACCCCGTCTCTCTCTCTCTCTCCTGGCTCTCGCTCTCCTCTGCCCCCCTCCTCACTCCCCCCCTACTCGCATCCCTCCTCCTCCTTCCACACGGCTGTAACCATTGCTACTGCCCTCTCCTTGCTCAGCGGTGGCGCATGGTCAGCGAGCAACGATGAAGATATGGCAGTGGGCGTACATAGTCAGCAATGGGTGTGACCATGTTTTTCTATTTTTTTTTTGGTTTTCAACACTAGTTACAAACCGACAGTAATGCCGATTCATATCACTGCCTACTATGACCACTGACTTGCAAAACTGGCGTGATGGCGGTTTATACATAGTAGTGATAGTGCTAATTTGAAATGGACAGAGTAATGAAGACATAATTAATAACGCTTTGAACTGGTCTTCTTTGCTGGCCAGCTTGCCTGCCGAAGATTAAACAAGATGCTAATCCATGGAATATATATACTAGTACGCACCCAGATTAAACAAGATGCCCAGGTGAGCAACCGACAAGAGGGTGTGGCAGAATATACAGCATGGCCGGCTGGATCATACCAGCAGTACGTACGTACTCATGGATACTTGTCGAAAGAGTGATGATAGCCATATAAATGCAATCCTAATGAAATGAGACGTTTTGAACTGTGCATGTGGAGCTTGGTTTGAAACTGTGCGAGAAGGAAGAGAAGTACTTATTATGTAGATTTCCATAGGAAGCTCCTTAACAAAATTGCATTTTTCACAAAAAAAAATGCCTCCAGAAATACTTCATAGAGTAAGTAGCGGTTCCTTACAAAAACTTCATTACCACATAATAGACAATCACTACCGTTAAGCAACCGACAGTGATATTGCCGGTTTATGGCTATAATCAGCAGTGATAGGCTGTTTTGCACAAAAAAAAACTCATAATTTTTTTTATACGAGGTCGGATCAAGATAAACACATGTGTATAGATCATTACTGGAGATGTAATGCTTATCAACTGCTCGGAAACTTCCCATATTGGAGAAACAGAGCACATGGATGTACTGTCTAAGGCTCATTTGTAACATGAGATTTTTATATTAATGCAGAAATAGGAGAAACACAATAGTTGGAGAGTCGCCCAACTTGTTGAATCCTCACTACCAGAGAGAGAGGGGAACGGTCCCAAAGGATCAGATGACTGATAGATAAGAATTGTGACCGAAAAAAGCATCTACATTCGCTCTCAGGATCTACAAATTAATTGGGAAAAAATGAGAGCAAAAATACTCATCGTGCTGCAATTCTTACCAAAAAGTTAACCAAAGTACCTATATAAATTATCCATCACTGTCACAATTTTCTCACCGAAATTACTTGTATACATGCTTCTCCACTGCTATTGTTAAAGAGCAAAGCCGCCAAATATAAAACATGAAGAAAACATGGTACTTATTAATGCATAATTTCGTTATGCACGCTATGCATTTAGTAAGTGATGATTGAATTTGCATACATGGAAGTTAACAAAAACACCTAGCTATATAAATTATCCACCACTGTCATAATTAATTTTCTAACCAAAATTACCTCTATACATGCTTCTCTATTATCCACCACTAGTTATCTTGTCTTGTGAGATTTACGTATGTTTACTTTGAAAACTATCATACTGACGTATATAAGTTTAGATTTCAATTATATTTGCTATCAAAAGATAATTTGCATTGCAATCATGGTTCTCGATCCCCATGATGAAGATTCAATTACTTAGACAAACATAAATAATAATAGCATGCATTGGTAACTGATAAATTGATATAAAGGGTATTTGTAGGCTAATTTCTGCATAATGACGATAATGTGTAATTTGTCAGCAAGTAGAGTGTTACTTTATTTTTATTTTTATATTTATACCTAATATGAAAGAGAGAAGTGACTTTTCCAACGGTCTTTTTTACTTCCTACAACACCTTCACGTCTCTCCACATCCCGTGCCACCTGTCCTCGTACAAGTTAGAACAATGCGCGTCTAGGGACGGTACGAAGTCCAAATCCAGGATATATTCAAACACATGTGTTGACACTCAAAAGTGTTCCAAGGTGGATTATAGCCATCTCCAACAAGTTATGGACATCATATACGTGTTGGTGGCTAAGCTGCGCGACAAAACAACAAGGAAATGACGCAGAGAAAATGGCGAGCCGGGAGAGCCACACCCAGTCAGCTTAGCTGACTCGTTTGCCCCAATCGGCCGCTGGTTTGATGATTAGGTGCCTATCAGCTTCTGGCCGATCGATTGGCCGATTTATCCCTTTCAGCGGATCGGGGCATCTGCCCGAGCCCGCAAAAGTCAACTTAGACCCAATTGCTCCTGTATTCCGAGGTGAAAAACATTATTCTAACCGGTCTCTAGATCGGTTTGATCGCTATGTTCTTGCTGCATTGTAGGTTGTTTGCAACCTCTTTGGCGTACTAGCCCCGTTAATTGGTGTGTGAGATTTGGGCACCTCCAATGTCAACAACATGACGCAATGGTGAGTAAATCTCTAATCCGAAAATTGTCCACGTTACCACGCAACACGCTGTACTTTCTGCTATAATTAAGGCACGGATATATTTGCTATTTACATGTAAACATGTAAAGTGAGAGAGATCGAAACAACAACACAATATTATATTATTCAAAAATTGGAGGGATCCAAACTGGACCTAAAAGGGCCTAAAGTGAGAGCAATCGAAACAACATGACAATATTATATTATTCAACCAGCATACATGCGCGCTTGCAGTGCATGCATGTGAGTGAGAACAAGACGAAGTATACGAATTAAACCACTTTAAGACACACAACTAAAACCAAATCCCGTACGTAATATAATTTCTTTTCAGACGAAGAACTCACGACCGAAAAGACGACGGCACACACACAAACCACGAAGTGCATTATGCATACTTATATCATATCATATATGGCGCCACCGCGCGCCGCCGGCGAACTAACCAACGACAGGCGTGTAAATGACGGGTCCGCTGGCGTTGCCGGCGTCAAAGTAGACGCGGACGCGGAGGGCGTTGTACCCCGGTGCCACGTTGGTGCCGTCCGGGATCACCTCGATGGCCACGTCAGGCCTGTCGCTGTTGATCTGTGTCACCGCCTGGGTCGCCGGCCACCCCACCACCTCCGGCCACGACGTCTTCTGGCTGCTCATTCTCTCCCTTCCTCCTCCTTCAGGCGATCAATCCTCTACGGATTCAGAACAAGTGCTAGCCAGTGCACTTCGTTAATGGTCTAGTAAAGTAACTGTACTAATGAGCAAGTTATTGTATACATGAATCTCTCATCGCTAGCTCTTGATGGTATTATTTATAGGGTCACCGTTGTTGAACGTGCATGCATCGAAGATTATTATTGGGCACAAACAAGAGCTAGCCTCGGTATTGTCGCCCCCGATCTGCCGGCGTTTGCTTCATTATTCGGATTTATTTAGAGACAAGTGACAACACAGGGGTATAAATCACTGTCCTTTGTGACAACCAACGTTCCAAAACTTACATCAGTAAGAGCAACACTACCGGAAACAGTGACTTTGCCGTGTGCCACATGCACTCAGCAAAGCCAACAAAACACTCGGTAAACAGCATACGACATCTACAGTGCCGGCAAACGTCTCTTTGCCGAGTGTTTTCTATCGGCACTCGGCAAATACTTTGCCGAGAGCTGGAACCGATGCTCGGCGAAAAAAAGTAATGCGACGGCACGGAGACAGTCACGGCGCGTTTGCCGAGTGTCCCGGACCTGACACTCGGCAAACCTGAATTCTTTGCCGAGTGTCCAGTATCTGACACTCGGCAAACATGCCTTCTTTGCCGAGTGTCAAATCCTGGGCACTCGGCAAACCTGCCATCTTTGCCGAGTGTCAAATATTGGACACTCGGCAAAGACTGGCCCAGAACGTACAAATGTTGGCTTCTTTGCCAAGTGTCACAGCGCAGATGCTTGGCAAAGAAGCCATTTTAGTCCCAGAATGCACAGATTTTGGCCACGTGTCCTCTTTGTCGGGTGTTTTTATCCTGGCACTCGGCAAAATGCATCTTTGTCGAGTGTAACACTCGGCAAAGCGACCATATATTCCCTGTTTTTATGGTTCGGTCACGTATAACGTACCCCACTTAAATAAACATTACAGGCATCACACATAGTTCACAATAAGCATCATAGGTAGTTCATATAGATATATCGACAACACATAAATGCAAAAAAACTTCAGAATCACTAGTAAGTTCGTTCACAACCACAAATAGTCACAAGTAGTCAGAGGTAATCCACAAATACAAATGCAAATAAAATCACAAGTAGTCACTTAGGTCACGAGTTTCACTGCGACCACGCTGGGTCATGAGGCTTATTCGATGTCGCCGATTGATTTTGCATAAAGGAGAAGAGATTGCACATGTGAAACAAGATTGAACAACATGTATGGTCTCTCTGCTGCCTAACTAGTATAACCCTTGCAACTATCAACAATATCTTCTCAGTTGCATTGTGCTCTAGTATGATTGCTTAAGTACTAGTTGATAACAAACATATAGCATTTGTCACTAAGTTTCTAGTGTCTGTTCATCATTGTAAGATTGATTTTGCATAAACGAGAAACAGTGGTTATAAGGTTGTAAAGTGACTCATAGTGCCTGAAACAGTATTTGGAGCAGGTTGAGGAGGAGGGACTGGCATTAGTGGCGAAGGTTGACCGATTGCAGCGTAAACACCCGTCATATATTCAAACATCTACAACCACTCTGCCTCCATCCTCAGCCGCCCTGCCTCCGCCGTCTGCCGCTCTTCCTCCATCTTCGCCTCTAGCTCCTCCCGGTGCCTCGTTTCTTGTTCCAGCTGAGCCTACAATATTTCATCTCAATGTTACAATGCAATGCAAAAGTATGTAAAAATCAATGAACGATGAATAAAACATAAATAACCTGGAGTGCGTTCATCTGGGACCATGTAGAGTCCGGCCGTGGGTGTATCGCCGGGCTAGAACGAGTGCTCCGTGCTCGAATCTGGGAGAGAGTGGGAGTATTGGCCGTGTCGATTGTGCCGTCGCCAATCTAGAACCGACCATGCTTCTTACCTCCTCCTGCCCTCGTGACCACTTCCCCATCAAGGTCATGGGCGCTTGGATCGTACTCTGGGCCATGGACCACCCTTGCCATTGATGTGTATCCAACGAGGCGGCTATGGACGGACTCGTTGCTGTACGCCGAGGGCGGATCCATCGGGTTGTAGGTGACGTTGGCCGTCGCCTTGCCCTTGTGGGCCAAAGCATATGCCATGAACTAGGAGCAAGGCTCACCATCATGTGTCGCCGACTAAAAAAAAGCAATATGATTAGAAATTATGTAGAGTTGAGCGTTAGAATAAAGAAATGAATTTGCGTACCCATCTAGCCACGTATTCTGAGAGATTGAGGTTGCCTTGATGGTATGGTGCACCTGGCATCAGCAAACACCGCTCCCGGCAAGCGTTGTGATTCTCCTCCCACACGGGGTCACACCACTTGTCCACCAAACAGGTCCAGCACTATAGATCGTAGGCGCACCACCACGGAGGCACCTACATCATCAAGTATATGACATATAGGAAGATGAAATTAAGCGTAATTAATCTAAGAAAAAATAAGTATTAATGTTCTATATTTACCTTCAGGTATTGCTTTGAGGGGTCAGGGTCATGGTTCTTGCCGCACGTTTAGGGAGCCTCTCTCTAAGAATTTTCGCGTGGTATTGAATCACAGCCTGGATGCGCGCCTCATAGTGCATGTCCTTGACGAGTTTTTGGTAGCTTTATTAGCCACAGCATCCGCCTTGGCCTCATATCCCTCCTCGCATCTAAAGAAATTCAGCATATAGACGCGATGTATCCGGTCATTATTTCAAGAATGTCCAATCAATGCAATGTATTGAGCAATGTAGTGCGAGAAAGACTTACCCAAAGCTCGGCCTTGACATGCTGCGCCTTGTTGGTGAATACCTTGCCATCCCGATCAGGGGTGTTGGGGACAGCGGCATAGTGGGGCCCACGTGTAGGCCGGCTCGATAGTTCCGCCGAACTGCACCAGGCCAGAGAAATTTTCCTTGATCAAAAGACCAAGGATGCCATTCACATGGCGTGCGTGATCAGCCCCACTGACCTTCCTCCAACCCCTGCCCAAGTGATTAAGATAAATTATTAGTTTCTATTATAATTTTGACTCTAATTCTTACCGAATCCTTCTCAACACTACGATTCTTTTTCTGAGATACTTCAGTTTGTAAACATCGTACGTGATAGATTGTGTGAAACCTTCTCAATTTTTTACCACGGCCTCCACATATGATATCATGAGATCTAGATAAATCTCATGATTTTTACACTTCGTTTGCTTTTTTTAGAATTTAAAAACCATTCGACCACACGTTCGTGGTCGTGTTTCCTGAACAGATGTTCGAAATTTTTTTATTTCCTGGGTATGGCCTCACACCAGACTCAATAACAAGAATATCATTTTTCTACTCATTTTATTCTACTATTTGAATCACTTGCAGTTTAAATTTGACTTATACCAAAAAATTTCTTTAAATGCAATAAATTAATTAAATATAGCAAACAAAAATATACCAAATCTTAACATGGAGTACCAAATGTTGTATGTGGACAGTAGAAAATGTTTCAAGGTGAGAAGAGAAAAGAAACTTATTATTTCATGCTATTATAGGTCAAATTCAATTTATATCAATTAAAATTCTATAATTGCACTTAATAAATTAAAATTATCAAAAGGATCTAAAAAATTATCAAAATTACACATGAATCAATCTATGTTCTTATTGCCTATACAAAAAGTTTTGAAGTCAAACCCCAATTCGACCGTCACTTTGACTCCAAATCTTACCGAATCCTTCTCAACGCTATGATTCTTCTTTTGAGATACTTCAGTTTGTAAACATCGTAAGTGACAGATTGTGCAAAACCTTCTCAATTTTTTACCACGGCCTTCACGTATGATATCATGAGATCTTGACAAATCTCATGATTTTCAGACTTCGTTTGCTTTTTTTAGAATTTAAAAATTATTCGGCCACACGTTCGTGGTTGTGTTTCCTGAACAAGATGTTCAAATTTTCTTTTCATTTCCTGGGTAAGGCCTCACACTAGACTCAATAACATGCATATCATTTTTCTACTCATTTTATTCTATTATTTGAATCACTTGCCGTTCAAATTTGACTTATACCAAAAAATTCCATGAAATGCAATAAATTAATTAAATATAGCAAACAGATCTAGAAATATATCAAATCTTAACATGGAGTACCACATGTTGTACGTGGATAGTAGAAAAAGTTTTAAGGTCAGAAAAGAAAAAAAACTTATTTATTTGCTGAGTGCAAAAAAACACTCGGCAAAATTATTTCTTTGCCGAGTGCTAAAGAAAAACACTCGTCAAACTTACTTCTTTGCCGGGTGCCACTAACGGACACTCGGCAAACTCCTAACGGCCGGCACACTAACTGACGGATGTCTACGTAGCGGTTTTTTGTCGAGTGTCTCTGTTTTGCCGATTGTTTTTTCCTAGTTTGCCGAGTGGTCTTTTTTCAGCACTCGGCAAAGATATTGGTATGCCGAGTGCCGTTATTTTGCCGAGTGTGGTTTAAGCTCTTTTTGTGGCTATAGCAGTAATTGATGAGCCTGAAGTCAAGGATATAGCTTCTGCATACTCTAACACTCTACTCTTCGACTGGTTGGAGGGCTGAAACAACGCTCACTTGAAAGTTCTGGTGACCTCCTCACTGGAGAGGGGTTAGGTACGTGTTGCCATGTAGACTAGCTGTTGTAGTTGACCATTGGAGATCTAAGCTTCAGTAGGGAACTTCGGTGAGTCTTACCTCCACCAACGAGTCTCCAACACCCTCACTGTAAGCAACCTCCGGTGCACCACTCCAATGATAAACCGGAAGGTGAGGTGAGGGTCTTTCACTTCTTTGGCCTTGGACCAGGCCTGACCGGAAAGCGCTGGTGCCTTCACTGGACATCTCCAGTGCCAACTAGGCAGTTCTGGTGCTCTCTAATCATTGTTTCTTTGTGTCTTTTCGTCCGGGCTTGTTTCACTTGACGTCTTAAGCTTTTTGTTTGTCTTCAAGGGTATTTATGGCAGTTCCTTGACCTTTACTT